TTTTGTTTCATAGAGTTGTTTTGTTTCATAGAGCCGTTCGATTTTGAATGTGTTACGTCATCACGTAAGGAAATATGTCATCACGTAGGCATACATGATGATGTCATCCCGTCACGTGGGTTGAACCATGTGTTTGTTAAGTGGAACCCCCCCTCCCCTTCCCCTGTGAGCTTCTGTACTCCACAACTCGTCTTTTTTTCTGTGAAAAAGCAAAGTGGGAGTAATTTAAGTACGAAAAACTAAATGTTATATGAGGAATAAAAGAAATACAGTAAAACTACAAACGGCTCGTTACTGCTGGCGATTTGGCTCCTATCGTTCGTTGTAAAGAGCCGTTCAAAAGATTCGGATCGTTCGTGAACGTCACATCTCTATTACATAGTAATATACAACTAGTGAATATTTGTAAACCTCTAAAATAGAAAACTAGAGTCCTTCCTGTATAAATACTGAATTTAAGACCTTTGGATAAGTCACGTGTTAATTAATTAGGYTCTTTTTGCCTGTTTGTATGCGAGTGTGTGCATAGATGCTGACAGTTTCACTTGCAAYCATCGTTCCCCTCCACGTTGCCATGGAAACAGTGCTCCCTCTTTCTTTTTTATTCTCTCTGCCCCCACCTCCCCATGCGCTGGTATTCTCATTTTTCTCCTCCATTCATTACTTTGCTCCCTTTCCTCGCCACACCTTTGGATGGTCCGTGCTGTCGCCAGTCACACGTCCTGCTCAGACCAGACGTTTACTTTCACGTATGAGTCCACATTTGAGTATTTCTGCACTGAATGGAGCGCTGCTCAATGGCAGACGGCACGATGACCACATCAGCAGCCAATCGGATGATCTGTGCTAGGCTGTTGGGCTCCAACCAATGGAAGGGGCCTGCAGATGATGCGTGAGGAGAAGGGATGCAGCACCATGGAAACTGCAGAGGGTACGCTCAGAGACCAGCACCATCTAGTGGGGCCAACATGTCCTTGTTCATTGTTGATATGTGGTCTCTATACACTTGCTCCTTTTTTTTTATACATGTATATATTTATTTGCTCTGACACAAGTGTTAAAATGAAAATGCAAGCCATTTTATTCATGAACACTCAAAATTATATATTATGTAAAATACACAACAATAATATATTTTACTTATTTACTTTTAAGGTTTTTTACTTATAAGGTAATGTCACTTTTATATATAATTATATATATATATATATTTAAAGGATTATTGTTTCCTTTACTTTACATACAATTCCCATCATTACCACTAGAGGGCAGCACCACCCAATGTCCTTTTTGTCCACCCACACCTGAGGAAACCCCACCTGCCTCTGCACACTTTCACACCTGTCTCAAAACTGATTGATTGTTTTCAGGGCTTATTCGTTGCACTATGTATATTTGCCTGAACGCTTTTATGTATAAAAAAATCTTAGTTTTTATAGATTAAGCAGTACATAACATAATTGATAAATATACTCGATGAGCAATTTAAATGTCCGCGTTAGTAATTAAGAGAAATAAAGACTGAAATGTTATTATTTGAAGGCACATTTCTGAGGACCTACTTTTCGACTTCACTGAACTTTGCGCTCATATCGTTTTGAAATAAATGTTTTATTTTCAATGTACGTACAGGAGATATGAATTAAAATGAAACGAGCAGCTAAAACGATGAAGATAAGAGTGGAGGAAAGGCTGACGTAAGATGAGATTTGTCTGGCCGACGCCTGCGCGGGACACACTAGAAGGATCGGTTAAAAGAGATTATTAAGAAACTGCGTCTGAAACGCACCCCCCCRTCAGGCGCCATCTTGGCTCTGGTGTTTAGATGAGAAGGGCTCGAGGTCCCGCCTTCACTCGCCATTTTGGCTCTGGCTGGACCCAGTTTCCCGGACGGTAGAGGGAGGGGCCTGGCTTTTCTGGAAGTCGGAGAAAACGGGCAGCCAAGCAGCATCTGAGTAACTGGAGCAAAAAGAAAAAAAAAATACGTTGGCTGGGTCATAATTACCGATTTCTGATTTTCATTATTCCGAAGCACAGACGGTCTCTGCAACAGAGCGAAGGCGGACATGAACGTGGAGGTTTTTAATTTGGGCTCGGGAAGCTGAGAGAGCACATACCGCAGCCCTCCGGACACACTTCGGTTGGGATAAGCCATCTGTGGTACTGGGTGTGCGCGGCGCAGTAACGGTGCTAGACAACCGGTGATTCCGTCGACAGCTAGCTCATCTTTTAGCCCATTCGGCTAACATTTTTYCCCCCCTCCACCCTACCGGGAGAAGAGCGGCAGCGTCTCGTTGTGGAACTATCCGTGGATGCAGCTGTGGGAGTCCCCGTGCTAAATTTCCACCAGTCGTGGGGGAAAAACGAACCCGAGGCATGTAAAAAAAAAAAAAAAAGAGGGGTGTTTCTTCGCAGACAAGCTAATGTGGCTAGCCGGCTAATTCGGTCTAATATAGTCCCTGATTTCCCGGTTATTGACACTTTTTGGTGGGGTTTGAATCACCAGACTCGTGTTGTCTAGCGCAAAAGCGACCACATTTAGCAAACATWATATCTCGTAAAACATAGGTCGTCATTGATCACTTGAAAGCCCGTGTGGGAGGGATTTCTTGCGGAGAGAGCATCCTCGTTTACCTGGATGACCATGGCGGACGACGACGTGCTGTTCGAGGATGTCTACGAGTTGTGCGAGGTGATTGGCAAGTAAGTGTCGGCGGCTGCACACACTCAAATCAATTTAAACACATCTCTTGTTTTTTGTATTCTTAAACGGGGTTTGTAAAAGGGGAGAAGAAGTCCGGTAGAACAGGTTAGACCTCCAAACAACAGTCATGTTTATTGGTTTTAACAGCAAGCCCAAACAGGCTGAAAGGTTAAAATGGTGTCCTGACCTCATTGTGTCAAGGCTGATGAGAATTTACTGTTGTCCTACTTATATTGCTTTCATATTACTAAACAAAACGCCGAATAATTTGCTCACTGTTTCATTTCCTGTGGGTGTCTGTTAGCAAAATAACTCCCTGATCACTGGAGGGATTAAAAAAACTTCCAAGACTTGGTTGGATGTTGATGACCTTTTTGGAGTCGACCCTATTAAAAATGGCTGCCACAGCCAACTGAAGTGAAGAAGCACACACATGGCTACAACTCAAGTCAATTTCACTCACATTGGTGTACATTGTGGRGTGGTAGTAGCTGAGACTAATTCCTATCTCGTAACCTGAGTGCCAGTTGGTCGTACAGTACTCTTGTGTTAAAAAAATAGCCAATAACTCATTGTTGTGAGTGTTTTCTGTCTGTTGGCAAAAATATCCCATGAACCAGTGTTTCCCAAAGTTGGGGTCGGGACCCAAAGTGGGGTCCCGAAACATCAAGGTGGGGTCCTGAAAAGATTTTCTGAATTAATTACATTTTTGCCTTAGTTGTTACAAATGAGTGAGGTTAGTGTATTTAAAATGGATAAATGTAGTATAAAAAATATTGTTACTATGCCCATGTTTTGTTGGGTCAAAAGCTGAAAGGTTTGGGAACCACTGCACTTTGGTTCCCAAAGTTGGGCTTGGGACC